CCCCAAAACCCCAAAACCCCAAAACCCCAAAACCCCAAAATATTATAAATAAAATATTTAAAAATGAACTTGAAGCCCTTAGATCTATCTCGAAGGAGAGATTTATTAGAGTCCAACACAATAGAAAATATAGAGAAGGCTCTTGAGGAGCAAAATGCTCCTAAAATAGCAGAGACTCAGAGAGCTCTTAGCCCAATTTTACTCTTCAAGTCTCCCCCTCGGATGAATAATCTGCTCACTTTGACACAGAAGGATCAATTCAGAAGTACTCAGTATCTTCGTACGCGCTCACAGGCTTCAAAAGTGAATTACCAGAAAGTAATCATCCAAAAATTAGAGAAATCTGAGGCCATGAATTCAGATCTGAAATTGAAAACAAAATAGATATGAAGACAGAATCCAGGAGCTTGAGTCTGAAGTCATAGTTCTAAAGACAATCATATCTGAAGAATGACTTGATAATTACAACTCAATAATTAAAGAGAATGAAAAGCTTAAGTCTGAAAATATCAAAATGAAAGCTTTTCTAGCAGATTATGGTCTAAAATGGCTCAATAATGATATCCAGAAGGGAGATTTCAAGGTCCAAGCTTTGCTAGATGACCTCAACCTCGCCAAGGACGACTTGATGTACAATTGGGATACCAAGACATTTAATCTCCTGGATCTAGATGCCATTATTGATAAAGTTGAAACCTTAAATAATAGATTTACCAGAGGTTTCAGACAAGTGTCAAAGAAGGATAAGGAAGATGGTTCTGATGTAATCAAACTCAAGTTCTACAAGAATGGGTTTAAAGTAGGAACTCTGAAGTACTTCAGTTATACTTCCAAAGAGGCGCATAGCTTACTTAGAGATATTATCAACGGATACCTTCCGACTTTCTTAAAGAACATTTATCCTGAAGGGACACTTATGACAGTAGTGAATAAAAGTTACAAAACTTATGAATTTGCTGATGCTAAAATAATGGCTCTCAACAAGGGCCCAGTATACTCTAACGTAGGCCCTCTAGCAGATTCTGAAGACGACATTGAGAAAGAAATGGAGATGGAAAGGGAAAAGAAGAAAAAGGAAATAGAAGCAAAAAGAGCAGAGAGAAAATAAAATAGAAATGGAGAAGAAAGCCAAAGAAGAAGCCAAGGCCAAAGCTAGAAGAACCATAAAAGTTCCTACCCCATTTGAGAACCTTATTAAGGTATCTAAAAGTGCAGCCAAGAAAGTGACTGTTTTAAAGATACGAACTGTCACTTTGAAGACTCAACTGGTAATCAAATTATCAAAGACAGAGAAAGTTAAAGCTATTTTTGACCTTGTTGATAAATACAGAGATGATAATTCTGAAGAAGAATATGAGCTACATACTGTCTTTCCCATCACAGAGTTCAGAAGGACGGATCCTAGAACACTTGAAGAGCTTGGTTTATACCCTGAAAGAGCACTGTCAATGCATTATGTGTAGAATTCCAGTAGTTCTTTTGAATTCTAAATTCATATAATTAGCATCCAAATTCAATACTTTATTTTTATTTTGGGGTTTTGGGGTTTTGGGGTTTTGGGGTTTTGGGG